GATCTGGGTGCCAGGGGTACTGAGGAGGAGGATCTGGGTGCCAGGGGGTACTGAGGAGGAGGATCTGGGTGCCAGGGGGTACTGAGGAGGAGGATCTGGGTGCCAGGGGGTACTGAGGAGGCTCCAGCCGCACGCTGGCCCGGGGTGCTCCCTACCTGACTGGTTGTTCCGCATGCGGATGGCCTTGGCCTTGGCCAGCTCCAGGGCCGTGACCCAGCGCTGCCGCTCCACCTCCGAGTTGGCCTTCAGGTGGTAGGTCCTGCCCCCGTTGGACAGCACGATGTTACACGAGTCCTCCGTGTCGATGTGGGCCGTGGACAGGTTGATGGTCCCCCGACACGTGTGGGCCATCTCTGCCTGCGTCCTGCACGGGAACAGAGGGACAAGGACGGGTCAGTGCCCCTGCACACAGCCCCTCCTGTTACCAAACAAGGGGTATTTCTTTAAGAAGGAGTCTCTGCAGCAGCGGGGCAAGATGTTAGAAAATTCTTTTAACTTTAGCACAACAGTGTCTGGTCTGATGTTCCTGGTTAATGGTTAGTTTTGTGCCACACAGTACCTAGTACAAACACCAGAGATTGGGTTAGCTCCCTGCATCTGTGACTAGCAAGGCTTGTGCCAGCTAATGCTTCCTTATTTACTTATATTAGTGATTAATATGTACTAGTAGATGTCTTAGTTTTGAGAACACAGATAGAGGGTCAGAGTAAAGAACGATTAGAGAAGTGTATCAGGACTTGACCAGATATCTGAGATACTCTCAAGGAAGGAAGATTCAGCAGAAGATCCCAGACCATAAAAGGAAATTCTGAGGAATGAGATGTTCCCAAGTGACCACCAAGGACCCTCAAAAGACCCCTACTCATATCCAAATAAGTTCACATAAATAATTAGCATATATGTACGTATTCAAGAAATGTAATGAATATGTAATATAAATACAATGACTATGTACTAGAGTCATGAATATAACCTGGTCTGTTGGGTTGCTACTCATGTATGCTTTGAGGAATAATCCCCATACATCCAGCATTGCTAATAAAGTGAAGTTTGCATTTCTAACCAAGCAAATTGGTTGGAGAATTTATTTCCCAGCTTTCGGTGACAGTCCCCAAAACATTCAGTGACAGTCCCCGAAACATCACCAATGCACCCTCATCCAGCAAAGATCCATGGAGACATCCCACAGTCCACACTCCCATCCAAGGAGCTGGACAAGCTCCTCAAACAGAGAAACAAGGACAGGCTGCACCATTTAGACAGAGCTTGTTCCCTTGCAGGAATATCCCCCCTCATTCCAGCGGCTGGTTTCACATCCCACTGTGCCCATTGCTTCTGGCTGCCCTAAAAGCAAAGTTACCACCTGCACATCAGTGACCTTTCTCCCCTCATTTCTATTGCTGCTTTCCTCCCTTCTCCCTGCTATCCTGCATCCAGCATTTTGTGGCTCCTTGTATCCTCTCCTATCAGTGTTTTCTGGGTTTTTGTGCTCAGACCTTGCATGCAAAGCTCTCCATCAGCGAGGCAAACAAAAGCAGCACAATGCTGTCAGAGCACCTTTGTTACTGGCACAATTGCTTAGCCCCTCCCCAGGCTCACCCAGATGAGCTCACTTCCCAAAAAACAGCCCTCCTTTCACCCAGCTGGGCACACCTGGAACAACCCACCCTGCAGCAGCCTTACCCACCACCATCCCACTGCCAACAGCCTCATCCAGGACTCCATGTCCAGGGGCCAAAGCCCCCCAGCCTGTACAAGAGAACAGCACATCCCTGCTCCACACCACAGCTCTGCTGGTCCCAGCCCAGGACAGGCTGGATCCAGGGACCGAGGCCACTGACGTGAAGGTGAACAAGGCCAAGTGCCAGGTCCTGCCCTTGGAGTCACAACAATCCCATGGATTGCTCCAGGATTGGGGCAGAGGGGCTGGAAAGCTGGAAAAGGCCCTGGGGGTGCTGGTGACAGTGGCTGGACACGAGCCCGGGTGTGCCCAGGGGGGCAGGAGGCCAATGGCCCCTGGGCTGTGCCAGCCCTGCTGTGTCCCAGCCCCTGGGCAGGGCCCGGCCCTGTGCTGGCACTGCTGGGGCACCTCCAGCCCTGGGGGCACTTCTGGGCCCCTCAGACAAGAGACACTGAGGGGGTGGAGCGTGGGCAGGGAAGGGAACGGAGCTGGGAAGGGTCTGGAGCAGC